TCCTGCTTTGGATGCTCTGCTGCAGTACTGTGTAAACGAACACCAAAATGAATTTTATTAGAATAAGAAGTGAAAAGGGTCAGAAGAATATCATAGTTATCAGTTGAACACGGTATGGTCTATTCCAATTTCTAATTCGTCGAAACATCTAGTATCTAATGGAAATACATTGTATTTAATGCAAATTTTCGTGTTACTTTAGTAACAACTTTATTTATTGTATATACCTCTTTTTAAAATCTGCGTATGACTGTCTTTTGTTAAAAAAAAATTCCAATATTTTGAATTCCATTTTTTTCAAATAATCTTCTCTTTTAAGAAATCTAAAATATTAAAAATTTCGTTTTCACCATAATCTAAATAAAATTGCATTATTTATGTTTCATGAAACATTTATATATTTATTATAAATGTAAAACTTATTTAAATAGACTAATACCATCTTTTTTTTACTACGACACTTTTTGACAGCAAGATACAACAAAGATGTTGGCATTTTTATAGAAATTTAATAGCCATATATACACTGCCGCTGTAAAATTCAAACAGGAGCGTCCCGTTTGACCACATCCCGATTGACCACAACCACTCACAGATGCCTAGAATTTTTTCACTGTTCAAGTGCTGTGAGTGGCTAGTAGTCAATCGGGACGTGGTCAAATGGCTACCACTCGATTAAACAAGTATCACGTTACATACATTGCTGCTATTTTCTTGCATATAACCAAAAACTGTATGTGACGCAAGTCTAAAGTCCTAATTAGCAATCTAAGATACGGTCCATTACAGTGTTACAAATGCTTCAAACGTTTTGCTTTCATTTGCTTCTGTAAAACGATCCATTAGCGCTACTAATGTTGCCAACACTACGCAAGAGGATCGGTTTGAAGCATTAAAATAGTCGAAATTGTGTTTACAAACATATATTCTGCGATCATAAATTCTGATGAGATAAAAGTTATCTTAGCTTATGTTGTTAAGACTTTTTTAGAACAATTATCTTATATTTATGAAGATAACAAAAACATTTCAGAACAAGTAATTGAACATATCTCAAAAAATAAAAGACATTAATTTTTTTTAACTTATTTAAAATAAAATAAAATAAAAACATGTAAATCATTATAGATCATTTTAATTTTACTCATTATTTTAGTTAGCCTTAACAGTATCCTCTTCAGAAACTTCTATGTTATAAATTATTCCTTTATTATATCTCCTTTCTAATTTTATAATTGGCATTTTATTTTTAAATATTTGATGCAATTGTAAGAATTAGACGACCGTAAGCGGTCATGAAAGAGATTCGGAATATAAACAGCTAACAGAGAGGAGCCGTCGTGGTCGTGCAGACTAAGTGTCGGATTGGTAGACGAGGGATAGTACTCCAATGTCGTGTCGGTCGTTCAAGAGAAATGAACGGAAAAAAGTCGCGGAGTAGTACTCCAAAGGAGTCGTGTCGGTCGTTCAAGAAGTGATCGAGGTCGGGAGCAGAAGCTCTAAGTTTCGGATAAAAGTCCGATAGAGGAAGACTCGGTACATTCGGGACGAATGTAATACCAGAATGGCCGAACTGTAAGAATTAAACGACCGTAAGCGTCATGAAAGAGATTTGGAATATAAACAGCTAACAGAGAGGAGCCGTCGTGGTCGTGCAGACTAAGTGTCGGATTGGTAGACGAGAGATCTCGAGTTCAAATCCAGTCGGTCTCCGTTAATTTTTTCAGAATCTAATAGATATCTTTCACAATATACATTAAAAATAATTTTGAAAAATTAGTACAATAACAGAAACGAAACATGCATTACACGCAAAATAAATCAGATCGCCACATATTACTTACCACACTTTCGTTTGTTAAGCTTTTCGCGTTTTGTATTCAAACTGTACGCTTCAATCATTCTGGGTGCATTCGTTTACGCGCAGTGTTTTGTGCATCCATTGCTTTCTCATCTGCTTGTCACGTGATCGAAATTTACCGAACAGATAACTACGTGAATAACTGCACGGATCGTATTTTCCAATAGAAATTGAGCCGATTGTTTGAATAATAAGCAAAGAGACAATTTTATACATCAATTTATATTCGAATAATTAAAATAAAACTTTTTTATTGTATAAAAAATAATATTTTATGGATACTAAATTTAATTGATATAAATAATGGATATTATAAAAAATATTTAATCTATGAATTTTACTTAAAGTTAGATATTAATTTTTTGTGAATTATATTTTATTATTCTTATTTTTTTTATTTCTTCTTATTTTTTCTTATTTTATTTTTATTTTTTATTCTCATTTTTTCTTATTTTTTTATTTTATTTTATTTTTTATTTTCTTATTTTTATTTTAATTATATCTTATTCTTATTTTATTTGGATCAATTATTTGTTATGTAGGCAATATTTAACAATAAGAATGTTTTCATATTCGAATAAATTGAATAAGGAAATTACTCCAATTCAATCAAAGGAAATTACTCCAATAGTCAACGTTATCGATTGACCAAACTCGTTTTATTTTATAACAATTAACTTTTTAAATTTTTGTAATAATTTTTATTTTTATTTTTTTATATTTTGTTTCTTTCTTATTTTCCTTTTTATTATGTTAAACTACATTTTTTTATGTTTTGCAAATTCTTTTATATTCTGCACTCTTCATGACAATAATTGTTCATAATTTTTATGTTTTTTTTATATTATAAATATATATATAATGTTAGCGTGATATAATTTTAATATATGTTAAGTTTAATGTATGTTTTGTAAATATTATTTATCACAGTTAAATGAGATTTCTGATTACTTAATAATTAAAATAAATATTATTTTTGTAATTTACAATTTGTTTGAGTGAAACAATAATTAATTATTTAATTAATTATTTAATTAATTATTTAATTATTACAAAACTTTGTTGAATATCATACGCAATAATTATTTTAAATATGTGACGGCAGCGACCATTTTTTCGCCGGAAATCCTGTCGGACGCAAGCCACGTTATCTCGATAATGACATGTTAGCAATCTAGTTTAGTAGATAGTATAGACATCTGTGCTCGAACACAGTAACAAGTTACAAGTAACCGAAATGCCAGGATATAAAATTCCAGTGCGCATGCATAAAAAATCCAATCCACAATAAGGCCACAGTTTAACTATGATATGGCGGTGTTTACTAACTATCAAGAAAAGTATTGTAAATTATTAAAATGGGTGGATATACTTGCGCTGTAAAAAGTTGCAAGAACAATACAGTTAGAAATAAGAGAATTAATTTTTTTAAATTTCCAAA